AATATTGCTGTAATGGAAATATTAATAACTCGTTAAAAGATTATAGATAAACAGGTTTATATAGACGTCAAATATCACCCCCCTCTTTTTTTTCCTACTCTCTTTTAATCGTGGCTCGATTATCCTGTCCTAGAGAAGTTTCCATCTTCACCTTCTTTTTTTTTATATAACTTATTTCTGTTTTTTTCAAACAAAAAGTCAGGAAGTAAATCGTGTCCTTGATCTTTCATCATGTTTGCGATGGTCTGTGACTAACTATATTGGCAAACTTGTTTTTCCTTATCGATTTTGCCTGTGAGATGATGTACTGTACTGTACAAGATCAGACTTAGAATATTTTTCTCAGGAGATCTTCTCATTCGTCCATTCTTTATGTATTTAGAAAACTATGACAAGCATTTCGCTTAATATAAGTCCAATTCACTCACAAACAATCCTAAATTGGATTTTACTTTATATACCTGCCCACGTACGAGTTACAAAAACACTCTTTTATTATATTTTTATTACTAAAACGGCATAAAACTATAATAATAATTATTATTATAAAAAATTTACACAGGTTATATACATCAATATAACACAGTAGTGATTTTATTATATGTTATTTTTTTATTATTATTTTTAAATTTAAAAATTTTACAATTGGAAATTATTACTTTAAAATTTTTATTTATTTATTATTTTCTGTAATAAAATAATGTTTTATGCCATAAAACAAACTGAAGCTAATAAATTACTTTAAATGTTTAGTTTTATGACGAATTTTATTATTAGAAATAGCAATAAAAAAATTTATTCTATCGCATATAGGTCATAGATAAAATATATTTTAAATACTGAATAAGTTTTTCTTTATTAATGATTAATGAATTGACGACTGAGTTAATTTTTTTGTTTTTAATTTAAATTAAAGAAGTTCTATTTTATGAATTTAATTTTATTGAATTAAAAACTCAATATATTTAATTAAATTTTTAATTTAAATATATTGTAAAGAATTTCACGCATACTTTATTATTATTATTATTATTATTAAGATTTAAATTGAAAAATAATTAAAATAGTTTTAACTTTTTAAACGGTTTTTAATAAACAATTTTTATACTTATTTTTTTAAACTAAATTAAGAAATCGATTTTAAAATACTTACAAATATTTATTATCTTCTTAATTATCTTAATTACATATTAATACAAGTATTAATTGACAATGCATGAACACGAAGATAAAATTAACAAGTTGCATTTTCAATCGAATGCTTTATGGATGAGCAGTCTTTCAGGGCACTATGAAATATTTTCCCCTATGATAAATCGAGATATATCATCTGACCTACTAAGATAACCATTGAGAAATGTACAGTAACTTAAGTCTTGTGCTGTTTCGTATTAACGTCGATAGTGTTAAATAATACTTGTAAACTAATAATTACAAGTTTATTTAATTATAAGAAAGATAATAAGATTTTAAATTAAGCATTTAACAAGCAAAATATACGATATCAATTATAGATATTTCAATTGAAATGATGATCAAGGATCAAGAGTTAGAGTTAGAAGTTAATCAATTACTATTCACTTTATGTTTAATACGTAAATATGGACACTAGAGTCTGACTCTTTTTAAGTTTTAATCGAGTTTCCAGGTTCCAGGACTGTTTTACTGAGCAAAATTTGAGTTTTAAATGTAATCCATTATCTTGTTTAAATCTAATTGCAATAAATGCAATGGAATTAAAATTTACAACAATTTAATTCGCATGTTTAAATTACTTACAAAGTAATTCTCATAAAACAGAGTAATTTTGTTTTAAAGAAAATAACTAAGAATTGCTATTAGAATCTTAACGAGTCAGGAGAATATTAGAAAACGTTAATTTATATAGAATTTAGAATCATTGAACGTTAACCCGCAATAACTGTCAACTTAGAATATTAAGGAAGCTTTCCACCGTTTCCTTAATTGAACTGACTACAAATGTCTTATTAAATCTATAATTATGTTACTCAGTTTAAGAAAGGATTACCCAATTATTTTTTCCACTTGATGTTTATCTTCTAGGTCGATTTTCAAACTAGAATTGTTTAAAATTTAATAACAATTAATATATTTTTAATTATTTTATCATGCTATAATACTACTAGAGACATAAATATGAATCACAGACAAGTTTAAATGTTACAAAATATATATTTTTTCCTTCATTAAAACCTATAAAATACCAGTTTCCCTACTTAATAATCATTAAAGCATAATAATCTTTAGTAGTGTTTTTATTGTAATATAGTCATACTATAGAGCTAAACATGAATCACAGACAAGTTTATATAAATCAAGAGATAGAAAAAAATATATTTTCTCTTGTATTAAATACTATAAAAGATTATTTTCCCTATTTTATAATCATTGAGGCGAAATAATTTTAAGCATTTTTACCTTAAAACATTTATCGTTAATGACTAAAATTGATGATGAATAAGTAAAAAAATAAATAAATTCCTGAAACAATTTAAAATTAATCAATAATATGATTTATAAATTATAGAAATGAGATTATAGTGTTAATAATATGCAAGTTTTCTTTAAAGATAATTTTATATAAGGGCATAAGAACTAGATCTATGTACGCTTCGTAGTAAACCGGAATATTATCTTATTTAATAATAAAAACTTAATGAAGTCTACGTTTTCCTGTTAAGTAAAAGAAATAAATAAATAAGAAAAAAAAAGATTATACAAAGAGACAAAAATAAAACTGATTACTCGATAAAAATTTTTATTATCTTTAAAATTGATACGCGGTTTCTTCTATGAAAAATATATATGTTAACAATAGGCAGAAGGTAAGATAAATGTTACGAGAATTGAAAACAATAACAGACAATAAACGGATTTACAGGATAATAATCCATTATATATAAATATCTATATAAAAACAATAGAGAACAGGAAATATTATACTGTAAAACTAAACAATAAAGTTGACTTTAAGCTTATATAATGTAATATTTTAATAATTTATAAATTGTTTTCTTTTTAAATTTAATTTAAAAAGTTTGATTTTTTTAAACATTAATAAAAAAAAGGGATGAAATAAATCAGGTTGATCTCTGAAGCTTTCTTAATGGATATTTTACTTCATTTATTCAGATTATTAACATGACATTTAAATATTTTTCACGAGATAACAAGCTTAGGTTAATTTATTGGGGATTTAAATAATAATAGCTAAATATATTTTAACAATTAAGAGGAAAAATATCTGAAAGGTTTTTCATTTGTTTTTTTTTTAAGTTCTCGTAGTTTATAAAGAATGCATTTTATTCAGATTTCCATTTTAAAATGTGAAATTTTCTCAAGTGAAATGATCCTTTTATCGGTTAAATCCTCGAAAGATAATTATGTATCCTAAATTCTCGTTCATCAAAGATTGTTTTGTATCACGAAAAATGCGAACCTTATGAATAATGCTATATAATTTAACTTACTATTAACAAGGTTGAGTTGTTTTTTAGTCGATATCACGAACTCAACGTACTAAATATGTGTTCTAGAAGAAAAAGAATGAAAGCAATTTACATAATTTCCCATGTTTTCAATGTCACTGTTACATTTTTTAACGTCGGTGATGCTGAAAGGAAGGATTTTTAAGAGAGTGGATTCATTTAATGTTTACTTTTTTCATCAGGAAGTATTGCTTATTGTTTAAGGCCAAATTTTTGGATTCAGTTGAATAATCATAACCCAGTGAATTTTGATTTTTTTGTGTGTGTATATTTATTTTATTTTCTAGCAAAGTGTTTTATACGTTTAGTATTTATATTTTTCTTTATTATATAACATTTTCTGCACGCAGATTAACTGTTAATTGTTAGAAAACCTCAACATAAAGGAGATCCTTGTTCTTAAAGGAGAGTTAAACAAAACAATAATTATATCAATGAGCATCTTGCAGGAACGTTTTAATCTTTTCTGTGTTATTAATTGCCTATTAGAATTATCATTTAATACTTTTTTCCCATAAAAAAAAAATTCGAAATTTTGCCACTTATTACCTACCTCCTCGCGTCAACTTCTCAAATGTATTCTGATCTTAATTTTATCATTTAAATATATAAAATAAATTTTTAAATCATTCTAAGCAACAAATTTCTTATTGTAAATGTACGTTAAACAATTTAAAAATTCAAGCAACTGTAAAATCCACTTTCCTCGCCCATCTTTTCAAGGGAAGATTTTTGAATGCTTGACTTTTAATAGGTTACTCTTTGGGAAAGAAAGGCAAAAGATCTGGATGAACGGGTTTAGAATAATATTGAACATTTCTTTTATATATATATTTATTTATGATCGTTTTCTTGATCAAATAAAAAGGTAAACAACCTGATACAGACCATATGTAATGGAAGAATAATTTTACCAAATAAACGTAAGTTTTAAATCTACTATAGAAGAATTTATTATTTTCCTACTTATTACTTATTGGATGTTTTTAAAATCTCAAATTAAATCTCTTTTTTTCGATTTATAAAAACAAAATTCTATTAGAATTTTGTTTTTATAAATCGGATAAAAAGTAATCTAGATTTGTTGAGAGTGCATTTTTTTTTTTTTAGCAATAGCGAATATAAGATAAGTTTAATGCAAAATACTTAAATGTTTTCTTGATAAAAACACGTTTTATTTAATTTTTTGAAATAAAGAATCACAGATATTTATAAGATAAATGTAATTTTAACAGAGCAGAGTCGTAAAATAAAGCTTAAATCTCTAATGTTTTCTTATGATAAATTATGCAAACATTTCTTGAATTAGTTAATTTATTTATCAGTAACTAGTTCTATAATCTTTTTATATGTGTTTGAATGTTTAATTTATATAAAACATTACAATAAAATCATAAGAACTTGTAAGCATTTCCTATAAAATTAACACGTCTTCTTATCAAAAGGTGAATCTAGTAAACAGATAATTACAATTTTTTTAATTACTAAAACAATGTTAATTTTTAACTTGAGATATATATTTGGCAATTATTTCAGGAAAAAAAATGAAAAAATAAATTTGGTGCGGTTCTAGAATTAATAATTAACGCAACAATAGCCATATACATTTCGGTTTTTTACCCTATATTTTATAGGTATTTGACATTACTAACTATAATTATTTTAAATGAATAATTAACAATTAAATTTCGAGTTTTTTTTAAATGTATTTAAATATTTTTAATTGTCTTCGAGATAAGCTTAGTCAAAGCGCTTACAATTTAAATTATCCTTTTTGATCGATTGACAACTTTATGCAGTGATAATTACTGACATAAATTATATTAAAGAAAGGTCATTGCTATATGTATACCATTATAGTCATGGTTTTTGGCGTGTCAAGTTCAAAAGAAATTCTATAACAGGACAAAGCATTAACAATGATTTAGGATCCGGATTTTATCGAAGTTTGAACCCACCAATGTATAAAGTTCGTTGCCTAGATCATTATTTTCGTTCGAACTGTTAGAGCGTAAAAAAATTCCTATGAATGTGAGAATTTTTAATGAAATTCTATACATATATTTCCATTATAAGAAATATATTATGTGTTGTACAGTACATATAATCCAAAGATTCACATTATCTAAAGTGATGACTGTTCTCTTTTTTTATCTGGCTGTAAGTTCATACAACTTAAGTGTTTTAAACACGTAACATGTAGGAAAATTCTTAAAATATCCTATTTTATTACAACAGTTTATTATATAAATATTAAATTTATTTCTTAAATTTATACAATATGTATTTGTTTACTTACAGATGCTATCTATCCTTCAAAAATGTAAATAATATGTAAAAATTAAAGTATTTGTTTTTTCTTAAATTAAAATTTATAAAAATTTCTCTACTTTTATTAACATAAATGAGTTTATAAATTTGAAAATGTGGTTATACGTGCCAATTTATTTATATAAATCCGGATATTTTGCAAAAACTAGAAGATTTATTACTCAAATTACTATTTTTTTAGTAAAATTTATAATGTTTTCAGTAACATTAAAATATATTTTATACCGAAACGAGTTGAAGTACTGCGACTTCTAATAGTATATTCTAATCACAGATGCTTACGACTACTGTGACTCCTGATAATACTTAAAATTTAAGATATAAATCTCACAGTTGTCATATAATATCGACCATTCGATTTATATGGATTTTTAACCCATCAGCTTTACGACCCGACATGGATAGATTACATCTATGCATCCTACTCATCACACGTGTCAGCAAAAAAGAACATTTACAGGACACGTAGAAGTTACTTAAAATTGTGAAAGTGTCCCAGACCTTGAATACTAGTACAAAATTATCATAAGTAAGCTATGAAATAAGAAATTATAGATTTAAAAATTAATTTTAGCCCGGAGTAAAGCGGAAATAAGGAAAAGCCAGAGGGCATGATTCATCCAAGCAACCAACATTGACATATTGTTATGATTGTCTCAGACAGAAGTTCTAAGACTTGGCCTAGATTTTATAGGAGAGTTTTTAGGACGATCCACGCCTATATAAATAAGAAACGCACGAATACCAGTTGACATGTCGTTAACTAAACAGAGATGAGTTGTGATTGTTCGTTGTTAAGCATTATGCTGAAGGTAAGAGAATGAATGCACTTCAGTTAAAATAGTAGATACAACAAATTATAGTGTAAACGTATAATATTTTAAGTTTATTTCGTAAATTTATATGCCATTTATCTTTTATATTTTATACTTTTTATAGATTTTTATTCTCGTTGGTTTATTAAATTTCGTCAGTGCCCAATATAAAGAGGGTGGTAATTACGATGTTTACGTTCGAGCTCTAGTGCCAAATTATGGAAAGAACCACCAAGAAGAGGAATATTATGTAAGTAAAGCTTTGATCTATGTCTCTTCATTGGGTTTAAACACGCCTTTAGGGTTATTTTAAAGCGTAGTAATGACTTTTAGCAGATTAATATCGTTACGATTGCCTCAAGGGATTTAATGATACGTGATTAAAACAAATTTGATTTATGTTACGGGGACAAAAATAGTTAGTTTACACGATGTTTTAAAATTAAATTTTCTTGTATAGAATTTAGTTTAATTAATTAATTGAAACACGGTCTTGATTAATTAAGACAACTGAAAATTATCGACTCTAAATGAAGCGAACAGCTATTCAAGATTCTTCTTCTCTTAAAATTGAATCCAATTTTCTCTGCATAAATAATTCTATTTTTTAATATAGTTTTTTTAAAATAGAATTGACTAGTGTATGAATTATTTCGATATTTATTTTTAGGGAAAGGCTACACCTTACAGTTTCGGTTACGACTTGAAGGACGAGCATGGCAATAATCAGTTTCATAGAGAAGAGAGTGACGAACATGGTACTAAAAGAGGATCATACGGTTACACCGATGCTTATGGTATATATCGCCATGTCGAATATGTAGCTGATGCACTAGGATTTAGAGCAACGATAAAAACAAACGAACCAGGTTTATCTCAACAAAATCCTGCTCATGTTAAAATGCACGTGGAAGACCCTCCAGCATCTTATCATCAAAATTCTATAGCTTATTCTCCTACCCATTCTCAGCCTCAACTAACGTATGCACAAGGGAAATATGAATAAATCATCGAGATCATTATTTATATCATTCTTTGCCAAGTTTGATTGAAAAGGATACTAAAAAAAACTGGGTTTTATACGTTACTGAATTTTAATGAGTTGGATAAAAATCACTTATATCACTATACGTTGCCAAGATCATATTCCATTGTACAGTTTGTATATGAAACTACCAGTTCTGTTTTTATTTATGTTTTAAATATTACAGTTTTCATTTTTTAAGTTAAATCTAATAATAATAATCTTATATTATCTGTATTTGTTTTTGTTTGTTTATGTTATTTTTAAACTTAAATCATAACATAATACTCATTTTTATATAACAGTTAAGTTGTTCTCTTCATGATTTATAAATGAATTTTAGTTTTTAACAGTAAAATTCATAACTTTAAAGTCATCTACCTTTAAAATCTATAAGGAAACTGTGGTATAAGGCGTGTACTATTCCAGTCTATTAGTTTTGAACATGTAGTTATTGTTTTAAAAAGTTACAAAATTTTCCTTTTTTTCTATAAAATTATAGGCCTATATAAAAAAATCTTTGTTAAGATCTAAAGTTTTAAAAATTTTATTTATTTTTTTTTAATTGTATCTTATAAACTCAAAAGACCATTATATACATGCCTCATTAATGCCATGATTAATGTCCTATACAATTATAGTTATGTCCTTTTTTTTAATGCTTAAACTTCTCGAATCTATATAGTTTTTAGTACATTTTTATTTACAAAAAGCAGTTATTGTTGTGTATTTCTTGAGGATTTTTACGTGTTGACTGTTCTATATTTAAATAGAGCAACTTCTTGTCTTGTTTTTATTCTCCTTCTTCTTCTGTATTTGCATCAAATAATACAGTAAATGCATTCATTACCATTTATCACTTAGCATTATATTTATACACATAAAACATTTCCATTTAGTACAGATAATCTATTTAAAAAAAATAATAATGATTTTAATTTAGTGATTTANTTAAATACATATATATAAATAAATAAATAAATATATCAAAATGCCTTCAGGTAACTATTATAAATATAGAACAAAATTGAAGCCATTTTAATTTATTCCAAAGTATTAATATTGCTGTAATGGAAATATTAATAACTCGTTAAAAGATTATAGATAAACAGGTTTATATAGACGTCAAATATCACCCCCTCTTTTTTTCCTACTCTCTTTTAATCGTGGCTCGATTATCCTGTCCTAGAGAAGTTTCCATCTTCACCTTCTTTTTTTTTATATAACTTATTTCTGTTTTTTTCAAACAAAAAGTCAGGAAGTAAATCGTGTCCTTGATCTTTCATCATGTTTGCGATGGTCTGTGACTAACTATATTGGCAAACTTGTTTTTCCTTATCGATTTTGCCTGTGAGATGATGTACTGTACTGTACAAGATCAGACTTAGAATATTTTTCTCAGGAGATCTTCTCATTCGTCCATTCTTTATGTATTTAGAAAACTATGACAAGCATTTCGCTTAATATAAGTCCAATTCACTCACAAACAATCCTAAATTGGATTTTACTTTATATACCTGCCCACGTACGAGTTACAAAAACACTCTTTTATTATATTTTTATTACTAAAACGGCATAAAACTATAATAATAATTATTATTATAAAAAATTTACACAGGTTATATACATCAATATAACACAGTAGTGATTTTATTATATGTTATTTTTTTATTATTATTTTTAAATTTAAAAATTTTACANCTTCTTTTTTTCGATTTATAAAAACAAAATTCTATTAGAATTTTGTTTTTATAAATCGGATAAAAAGTAATCTAGATTTGTTGAGAGTGCATTTTTTTTTTTTTAGCAATAGCGAATATAAGATAAGTTTAATGCAAAATACTTAAATGTTTTCTTGATAAAAACACGTTTTATTTAATTTTTTGAAATAAAGAATCACAGATATTTATAAGATAAATGTAATTTTAACAGAGCAGAGTCGTAAAATAAAGCTTAAATCTCTAATGTTTTCTTATGATAAATTATGCAAACATTTCTTGAATTAGTTAATTTATTTATCAGTAACTAGTTCTATAATCTTTTTATATGTGTTTGAATGTTTAATTTATATAAAACATTACAATAAAATCATAAGAACTTGTAAGCATTTCCTATAAAATTAACACGTCTTCTTATCAAAAGGTGAATCTAGTAAACAGATAATTACAATTTTTTTAATTACTAAAACAATGTTAATTTTTAACTTGAGATATATATTTGGCAATTATTTCAGGAAAAAAAATGAAAAAATAAATTTGGTGCGGTTCTAGAATTAATAATTAACGCAACAATAGCCATATACATTTCGGTTTTTTACCCTATATTTTATAGGTATTTGACATTACTAACTATAATTATTTTAAATGAATAATTAACAATTAAATTTCGAGTTTTTTTTAAATGTATTTAAATATTTTTAATTGTCTTCGAGATAAGCTTAGTCAAAGCGCTTACAATTTAAATTATCCTTTTTGATCGATTGACAACTTTATGCAGTGATAATTACTGACATAAATTATATTAAAGAAAGGTCATTGCTATATGTATACCATTATAGTCATGGTTTTTGGCGTGTCAAGTTCAAAAGAAATTCTATAACAGGACAAAGCATTAACAATGATTTAGGATCCGGATTTTATCGAAGTTTGAACCCACCAATGTATAAAGTTCGTTGCCTAGATCATTATTTTCGTTCGAACTGTTAGAGCGTAAAAAAATTCCTATGAATGTGAGAATTTTTAATGAAATTCTATACATATATTTCCATTATAAGAAATATATTATGTGTTGTACAGTACATATAATCCAAAGATTCACATTATCTAAAGTGATGACCGTTCTCTTTTTTTATCTGGCTGTAAGTTCATACAACTTAAGTGTTTTAAACACGTAACATGTAGGAAAATTCTTAAAATATCCTATTTTATTACAACAGTTTATTATATAAATATTAAATTTATTTCTTAAATTTATACAATATGTATTTGTTTACTTACAGATGCTATCTATCCTTCAAAAATGTAAATAATATGTAAAAATTAAAGTATTTGTTTTTTCTTAAATTAAAATTTATAAAAATTTCTCTACTTTTATTAACATAAATGAGTTTATAAATTTGAAAATGTGGTTATACGTGCCAATTTATTTATATAAATCCGGATATTTTGCAAAAACTAGAAGATTTATTACTCAAATTACTATTTTTTTAGTAAAATTTATAATGTTTTCAGTAACATTAAAATATATTTTATACCGAAACGAGTTGAAGTACTGCGACTTCTAATAGTATATTCTAATCACAGATGCTTACGACTACTGTGACTCCTGATAATACTTAAAATTTAAGATATAAATCTCACAGTTGTCATATAATATCGACCATTCGATTTATATGGATTTTTAACCCATCAGCTTTACGACCCGACATGGATAGATTACATCTATGCATCCTACTCATCACACGTGTCAGCAAAAAAGAACATTTACAGGACACGTAGAAGTTACTTAAAATTGTGAAAGTGTCCCAGACCTTGAATACTAGTACAAAATTATCATAAGTAAGCTATGAAATAAGAAATTATAGATTTAAAAATTAATTTTAGCCCGGAGTAAAGCGGAAATAAGGAAAAGCCAGAGGGCATGATTCATCCAAGCAACCAACATTGACATATTGTTATGATTGTCTCAGACAGAAGTTCTAAGACTTGGCCTAGATTTTATAGGAGAGTTTTTAGGACGATCCACGCCTATATAAATAAGAAACGCACGAATACCAGTTGACATGTCGTTAACTAAACAGAGATGAGTTGTGATTGTTCGTTGTTAAGCATTATGCTGAAGGTAAGAGAATGAATGCACTTCAGTTAAAATAGTAGATACAACAAATTATAGTGTAAACGTATAATATTTTAAGTTTATTTCGTAAATTTATATGCCATTTATCTTTTATATTTTATACTTTTTATAGATTTTTATTCTCGTTGGTTTATTAAATTTCGTCAGTGCCCAATATAAAGAGGGTGGTAATTACGATGTTTACGTTCGAGCTCTAGTGCCAAATTATGGAAAGAACCACCAAGAAGAGGAATATTATGTAAGTAAAGCTTTGATCTATGTCTCTTCATTGGGTTTAAACACGCCTTTAGGGTTATTTTAAAGCGTAGTAATGACTTTTAGCAGATTAATATCGTTACGATTGCCTCAAGGGATTTAATGATACGTGATTAAAACAAATTTGATTTATGTTACGGGGACAAAAATACTTAGTTTACACGACGTTTTAAAATTAAGTTTTCTTGTATAAAATTTAGTTTAATTAATTAATTGAAACACGGTCTTGATTAATTAAGACAACTGAAAATTATCGACTCTAAATGAAGCGAACAGCTATTCAAGATTCTTCTTCTCTTAAAATTGAATCCAATTTTCTCTGCATAAATAATTCTATTTTTTAATATAGTTTTTTTAAAATAGAATTGACTAGTGTATGAATTATTTCGATATTTATTTTTAGGGAAAGGCTACACCTTACAGTTTCGGTTACGACTTGAAGGACGAGCATGGCAATAATCAGTTTCATAGAGAAGAGAGTGACGAACATGGTACTAAAAGAGGATCATACGGTTACACCGATGCTTATGGTATATATCGCCATGTCGAATATGTAGCTGATGCACTAGGATTTAGAGCAACGATAAAAACAAACGAACCAGGTTTATCTCAACAAAATCCTGCTCATGTTAAAATGCACGTGGAAGACCCTCCAGCATCTTATCATCAAAATTCTATAGCTTATTCTCCTACCCATTCTCAGCCTCAACTAACGTATGCACAAGGGAAATATGAATAAATCATCGAGATCATTATTTATATCATTCTTTGCCAAGTTTGATTGAAAAGGATACTAAAAAAAACTGGGTTTTATACGTTACTGAATTTTAATGAGTTGGATAAAAATCACTTATATCACTATACGTTGCCAAGATCATATTCCATTGTACAGTTTGTATATGAAACTACCAGTTCTGTTTTTATTTATGTTTTAAATATTACAGTTTTCATTTTTTAAGTTAAATCTAATAATAATAATCTTATATTATCTGTATTTGTTTTTGTTTGTTTATGTTATTTTTAAACTTAAATCATAACATAATACTCATTTTTATATAACAGTTAAGTTGTTCTCTTCATGATTTATAAATGAATTTTAGTTTTTAACAGTAAAATTCATAACTTTAAAGTCATCTACCTTTAAAATCTATAAGGAAACTGTGGTATAAGGCGTGTACTATTCCAGTCTATTAGTTTTGAACATGTAGTTATTGTTTTAAAAAGTTACAAAATTTTCCTTTTTTTCTATGAAATTATAGGCCTATATAAAAAAATCTTTGTTAAGATCTAAAGTTTTAAAAATTTTATTTATTTTTTTTTAATTGTATCTTATAAACTCAAAAGACCATTATATACATGCCTCATTAATGCCATGATTAATGTCCTATACAATTATAGTTATGTCCTTTTTTTTAATGCTTAAACTTCTCGAATCTATATAGTTTTTAGTACATTTTTATTTACAAAAAGCAGTTATTGTTGTGTATTTCTTGAGGATTTTTACGTGTTGACTGTTCTATATTTAAATAGAGCAACTTCTTGTCTTGTTTTTATTCTCCTTCTTCTTCTGTATTTGCATCAAATAATACAGTAAATGCATTCATTACCATTTATCACTTAGCATTATATTTATACACATAAAACATTTCCATTTAGTACAGATAATCTATTTAAAAAAAATAATAATGATTTTAATTTAGTGATTTAACAGTTAAATTTTTACTTATCTCTAATTCAAAAATAAATATAAATTGAGTAAATTTTCTTGTAAAATATTTGTAAAAATTGAAAAAATATATATATATATTTTTTTCTTTCCTTACAATTTTATTCAATTGAACTTCTATTATATTCAATTGGATTATATATATATATATATTTGTAAAAAAAACATGTAAGAAGTTTATAATATTTTTAAAATGCGAGATTTTTCACTAGATTTTAAATATTGATATAGTTTTTTTTTATATAAGTAAAAGATTATATTTTCAAGTAGAAAACAGTTTTATATAAATAAATAAGTAGTAAAATGTATTTAAAGCAATTTATTTGGTACTTTCATATCACCATAAGTCACGCTTTATGTAATGTTTATATTCGATTAATCAAGAAAAAAATTTTTAAAAAAATCTTTAATTTTTAATCAAGATTAAAGAAATCGAAAATATAAATTTATTTAATTATATTTTTTTAATAAAAAATATTCATTAAAATTATTAAGATAACGTTTAAAAATCGATGCTGTTGTGGTTATCATTAATTAAAGTAAGTACGAAACAAAAATATTTAAATAAAAAGACATAAAATATATAAAATTTACACACGTAAAAGATAATTTAGCAGTTTTTTAAAAAATTTTACAAGTAAAAAAATGAAGAAATTTCAAAAATACATCTCTTTTTAAATCGTCTTTATACACGCACGTTAAAAACAGAGCTAATATTTTTATTTTTAAAGCTATCTACATACATACCACATACCGAAAAAGATATGAATTATATATAGCCTATATACATATATAATTGCTCTAACTACTAAAGAATTTTAAGTATTTTAAATTATATAAAACACTTTGACCTTTAAGCAATGTATTTTGTGGCATTGAACTTAATTTAATTTCTAAACTTATATATATATAAACAGTCTTATACACATACATATACATGTAAAAATGTGAAATATTCTTTACAACTCTTATTTATTTTTTTATTTTTATTTAATAAATAAGTTTAATATCGGAAATACAACTTAATTCTTTAATTAATAATAATCTTTTATTCATTTTAGAATTAATTGAGACATTTTTAAAATTAAATTTTAAGGTGGATGAGAAAATCTAAATAATAAAAAACAGGATCCCATAGACATTATCAAACTAGAATATTTGATTTCGATGTATAAAAATATAGCAACGAGTTGCTTAACTTTTTCGGCAACAATTAAAACTGCTTATGTGGCGCCATCTGTTATGACATTTTTATTTTAAAAAAAATTTTATATTTTTATTTATTATAAAATGGCAAAAGCTTAATTGATTTTTTTAGGGTTGGGATGAGTTTTATAAAAAAATTGTAAATGCAAAATCGCTTTTATGTCCGACCCTACTCGAGAAACGACACACGATCCCTTTTATCTCCCCACCCCGTCGACCTTTAACCACCAAAATTTAACAGAATCGATTCCTCTAATACACAAATCTTCCTGCAAAATTTTAGAAAATTTCGACAAAAAACACAGGAGTTATTAAGCTTCAAATAGGGTGAACAAAATCATTTCCCTTTACACACATACATGCAGAAACCCCCGAATTTTTTTCATTTGAAGGTCCCCCGAGTCCAAAAATATAAAAATCACGGGGGGAGGTTAATTTTTTGACCGATCGCCATACTTTTCCTCTATTAGGTCTATATATAGCAGATCCGGGAACGTAAAAAGAACAAATTGAAAAGACACTTTTTCTTTATTTTAACTGTAAATTTTAATTGCAATTTAGCGTGTTTTATTTAATATATATATA